TTTGAGATATTCAAGAGAAAATTTATAACTTTTTCAATGTTTAGCTTATAATCTCTCGATAACTGTTTGCCGGAGGGAAAAGTAGTATAGGACTTTTTTACTTGATTTAGTCTCAGGAATATGCTGTTGCAATGGTGTTTCAATTATTGAAAAATTTTGTGTATGTAAATTTTATGTGTTGCAATATTGGAACACTTTTACAACAGCATATTCCTGAGACTAAATCAAGTAAAAAAGTCCTATACTACTTTTCCCTCCGACAAACAGTTATCGAGAGATTATAAGCTAAACATTGAAAAAGTTATAAATTTTCTCTTGAATATCTCAAGAAGTATTAGGCAAATCAAAAAATGTTTCAGACAAAAGTTGTTCATATTAATTAGTAGAATAAAATAGTATAATAAACAATAGGGAGTTTCATTAAAAAAAATGACGGCGACCTCTATATAACCATAAAAAATTAATTTTTTCGAAAATTTATTTTACCATTATATAGCCCTTTTAAAACCGTATAACTTTTGTCTGAAACATATTTTTCTAAAGTGCATATATAGTTTATGAGATATTGGGGTGTATCCAGACTTTTGGCCCACCCTGTATATATATATGTATGTATAAACTGAACCCTTGCACCGATTATCGTCAAATACAATACCAGCCATCTCTTAATCACACTCAATAAATGTGCCAAAGTAGAAGGAGATATCTCAAAAATTGCGGAAGTGAGAGTGCGAACAATTATTGCGCGCGCACACACACACACACACACACACACACACATTTTTTAAATAATTGTGTTTTTTTGAGTTTTTAAAACATTCTAAACCCATTGGCAATGAAAACTGGAAAAATATTTTTCGCATGAAAACAAAGCTTCCTCTATGAGGAAGCAAAAAGAAACATTTTGCATAAATAATAAAGCAGTTCTCATTGAATCATGTGTGTTGAATCGATGTGTCAAATTCGTGCCATTAATCTTGTTATAAATATTTACACGGGTACCTTGTATCTAGTATACAGGGTGTCCTATATTAATCGTCCATCCTCTCGTGTGCAGGTAGACAAAATATACAGGGTGGGGCGTTTATCTTGAGACAATAATAGATCTCGGTTGGAATGGATTATTTCGAAAAAAGTTTCAGACAAACGTTGTTTGGTTTCGAGGGGGCCATAAGATGGTACCATTGATTTGACCTTAAAGAATTATTTGAAGGTCACATAAAGATCACACCAATTTTTTTTAATGGCATCCCCTATTTTTTATTACATATTCTTGTAGCTGACCCCGAGAGCTTTCCAAAACGCTATAATAAAGTATTTTTTTATTAAGAACTTTTTGAGTTATTAAGGTTTGAAAGTTCCAATATTTTAACATAAATTACAAAATATCTTGTAAAATATCATTTTTTTATCATCTTACCTTAATACTTTTTTGAACAGAATAATGATACAAATCAAAATTTTTTTTAACAATTATGTTTTCTTTGCACCGGTTGATTTGTATCATTATTCTGTTAGTAACTATTATTTGTCACTAGAAAACACAAGTTTACACAGCCGACTAGTAGCCCTCAGGCTGAGTACGAATGTGTAGAGGTGTGTCGACATTTGTGACAATTGGAACGCTATTTGTGTCGCCGTGTGCACGAAAGTGTCTAGGGATATTGCAATTGGAAAGCACCCAATGACAGCTATTCCAACAAAATATGTGACATTTCACCAACCGCGGCAGCACTAGTCTCTACCATAGACATATAAAAGATAGACTGCTTATGAGGCAGTGGAACCCTAGAGTTCCTCTAGTAAGAGTTTGGCCACCTAGTTAACGATTTTTGATTGGTTCTTCGATCCGCCATATGCAACTGCCAAGAAGGGCGGAAAAAGTAAAATTCTAATTATTGAATGTAGCGAATAACTTTGAGAAGTATATTTCTTAGATCTGTACATATTTGAAAAGTTTCAATAAGTACTAAATTACGCTTTAGATTATTTTTTATAGAAACGATTCATGATTTAAGCAATGCTTTACTTCTAGTAAAATAGGTTAGTACAAGTCTTGTTGCATGGTTTATATCAACTAATCTGTTTATACAAATCACGTGTAAGTATTCTTTTAAGAGTAAGTACCAAATAGGAGATTCAATTAGTATATCTTCCATTAAAATGTAGTAAGTTGGATAAAGTGCTATAAAAATATACAAGTATTGAAATAACTATGTCTGACTTATTTGGAATTATTTTTCTTGAGAGGTTAATAGCAAATTTATATGTAAAACTTTTAATATAATCATTTGCAGTATCAAGTGGACCGTAGCCACATTCATGTATCGCGCCAATCCCCTTCCACTGTTTGGCTATAAATGGCGTACGGTGTCCGAACTCTTACTAGAGGAACTCTATGGAACCCTAGGTGGGGGCATCCTCCTGAGGGAAAAGCATAGAACTTATAAACATGGAAGGGGAAACGGATCGGCACAAGTGAAGCCAAGAAGTGAGACAGAAGAAACTAGAATTCTGTCTCGTTCTATGACTTTTCCTCGAAATACGCATGCGCGGCCAAAACGAGACTACAATAACGCATGCGCGGCCAAAACGAGATTACAATAACGCATGCGCAACGATTTAACGCATGCGCATAACGGACCAAAGTCATCTTCTATGCTATCCTTGTCACACAGATGTTGGACTCAGTTTCAGCTCACGGAGAGTATATGCTATTCCCCTTCCATGTTTATAAGTTCTATGGGGAAAAGGACAACATGAATTTATTTGGGTATCTGTCTTCCTCTAGTGGACGTGATCTGAAGGCGATCACGTGTTCACGCCCACGTGATCACGTACACTAGAAGAAGATAGATACCCAAATAAATTGGTGTTGTCCTTTTCCCTCAGGAGGACATCCCCCACTACCTCATAAGCAGTCTATCTTTTATATGTCTATGGTCTCTACGCACACAGCGAATACAAGACCGTGCTTTAACTTTTTAACGCTGGAATTTCATTGCGGCGAAGTAGGGGTAAAAGCCAGCTTTTCTACGCTCACAAAATTTCAGCTTAAGGTGAATAATGAACTGTGATTGGTCAATTTCTTCCGACACGACTTACTACATCCTATGTAGACCCAGCCTAAGGCTGGTATTA